CACCCCCTCCCCCCAAAACCAGGTCAATAAGAGAGATCTGCTTGTGACTATTTTCTCATGAAAGACACTAACTGTGACCATAGTCAGGATAGTCAACTGCTTTCTCTCCAGTGCAAAAGGACTGGCACCCAGAATAGATGCCTTTGATATTTATGATATTCATGAATAACACCAATCTTTCCTTCTTTAGTTTTCTTTACACAAATAAATACATTTGAAATAAAATACAGATTAAAAGATTCCACAAATCCCAGCCTGCGGAAGAGAATAATTACAGCGCTTCAGTTCAATACACAGAACAGAGAGAGGTAATTATTGTTTATATTTGTGATGTAGATAAGCAAGTCAAAATAACACAAATCCCCACTGTTTCTATCAGTGTGTAGGAATTTCTTGTCGAGTTGCTATCCAATTAATGGAAGAGAGAAAAGGCTAAGAAAATGTCGGCAACATCCAGACATTTTAATACTCTACTTTGCCTAATAAGGTAAACATGAGAACCCCTGTACAACGGCATGAAAAGCAAGAACTCCTCTAAAAATGCAACAATCTGCAACATAAATGCATGTATCATTTGCAACATGCTGCACAGAGAAATAATCTCCATTAAATCTATTGCCATACTGCATGCTTAGGACATGCACAAAATTGAGAAGCATTTGATCTTGAAATGCAGCCACAGGCCATGCGCTCTATTTAGTCTGCATACTGAGATTAAAGGGCAGTACCTGACCAGTTACAAAAGCACAAAAACAGCAGGATTAACACTAAGACCAAATTCTTCCCCAGGTATGGGACACAGATGACGCCTTATTATAAGCAAGGATCCTAGTCTTCTGTGATTAAAAAACCCCGAAACAAAAATCTGTGTTTTTCCATAGCAAGCTCCACCCCCCAACGTTGATTGTCTGAGGGGTCCTAGCAGCAGCCCTGCCCCTCACCACTTATTGGCTGAGAGGGCTGTCCTTTAAGTACCCTTGCCCCTTGGCATGAATCAGCAGAGAGGGGTCAGGCCACATGGCAGGCAGCCCTCTCAGCCAATCAGCAGCGAAGGGAGGTGTGGGCTTCCTTGTGCGCCAACAGCTTCTCCCCCCAGTGAGCTACTGCAGTGGCTGAAGGAAGCACTGAAGGTGGCTCTCCCACTGGGGAGCCAGCATTTTATTTTCAGTAAGTTTTTTTCCCCGGCAATTCTGCAGAGTCTCTGTAAGAATGTAAATTCGACGTTTTTCAAGGCAAATTGATTTCTAGGATCCCTGGTTATAAAGTAGAGGCATTTTACAGGTTAACAAGGAAGACAGCTGAGAAAGCAGCAGATGAAATATCCCTAAAGAGCAAATTACTAATAGTCTGTTTATGGAAGACAGATTCAGATGCCAAATGAACTCACTGAGGACTGTAACTCAACATATGCAGTATGAGGGGAAAATCTGAATCTTATTCTGCTTTGCCTCATCATTTTTCCTTCCCTTTTCCTACTAATCCCATATTTTCCACCCCTGCTCAAACAGCCACATTTAATTAACACACATTAACTTTTGGCAAGACTTGCATCTGGCCCTTCTTCTCAATCCATTTAGCAAGGTAGATGCTTGTGAGCCTTACAATAACATTTTAGTATGAGATACAGCAGTGACAGGGCCAACACCATAGCAGACATTTCTCTATGGAGCTTTGTTCAGCCACTATCTGCCCCACTTCTAACTCTGCTCTGTGAACTGCCCTTTCATAAGAACCTTATTTCCCAGCATGCTTTTCTGAGGCTTGCCTTCAAGTATGCTAGAGCCAGAACTCTACAGCCCCCATACCATTGTTTTGGGACAGATAATGGCTGGGTGCCTCACTCCTATTTCTAGCTACCAAATCCATGTTGGGAATCTATCTTTGGATGCATGTGGGCAGTTCATATATACTTCAGTGGAATTATGTAACCATCCAAGGACAAATCTGAGTCTTGACATGATGCTGTACATAGCTTGCAGAAAAATGTACCATATTCAATTAAGTGCCAATAGTAAAGAAATTATTGTTCCTCTAAACTGTTTGGTATGTTTATCAATGCCTAATAAAGAATATGATTATTTCACAGAGTTGCATATAAAATTAGTGGGTTTACAGACATGATAAATGTTGAAAAATACAGTTGCTCAAGACAAATCAAATATAGTTGTGCAGTAAATTAAGTAAATATGCATCATCGGCAGAGTCAGGAGATACACAAAATAATAGAGAAGGAGCTCAGCCTAAGGCAGAGTCCTACATTTCCAAATACCAATGATGTTCAGAGTCAGATCTTAACTTTGCACCAAGAGTTCAACTCCGAGATATGCATTTACTAACACTTTTAGAAGGCTACCATGGTACCCATTATAGGGAAAACACAATTCATATTAGTTAGCACCATCTATAGGAAATCCTGATCATTGCCCATAACAAGAAAAAGTACAGCACATTGCAAGGTTTATGGCACTGTTTATTTTAATACAAAATATATTATGCATTTTACATATTGTTTACACTTCCTATGCAATTTAAATGCTGGACACACAGCTGGGAGAAATGAAAACTTGGAGGAGAAAGAGCAGAAGGGAAATAACCAGACATTCCTAGCAAAAAATTTATGGCTGTGCCATCCTGATTAATTTTAAACTTCATGTAAACCAGAATCTCAGGTGTTTCCATGCAAGTGTAAGTCTCATACACACCAGTGAGAGAAAGAGGAGGAGAAAGATGAAAAATACAGATGTAGCACTCTGCACACTTAGCGACCCAGAGCTTCTCTGTTATCTTGAAGATGGACTACTAGACCCAGAAGGTGGACAACAGAACTGGTGGAGAACATTATCTTCCCTGCCAAGAAGGGCAAAAAAGGAGGGGAAAGAGAGAAAGATAGAGGAACAGAATCACAGGGAACAATATTAGGAGAATTAAGTGACAGTATTTAACAATAGTGTAGCCCATTTGTAAGCAACTGTTGATATCTCTGTTCACCCTCCCCCACCCCTTCCACCCACAAGATCTCTGAGACTAAGTACATGGTTGCAAGTGCTGGGCCTCATTTCAAGAAATGTTATACAACGCAAATAAAGAAGATAATGCAATCAAAGACTGACCCAGGTTAAGGTTTAGAGTTACTATATCGGAGATGAAAAGTTGTATCTAGGTACTTTTTAGAAGGAAAATGTCTACTTTTAACCATGAGAAAATTCTGTAACTATAAGCATTAACAAGGGAAGTCTTGCCTTTGATTACATCTTCTCTCTCAGGAAAAAAATACTTCAGATCTTAAGAGTTTATGATTCAAACTATTGCTCAGTTCAAACCAAACATACTTTATTCATACAGTCCTTAGGTTAAATAAATCAAAGACTATGAGGGCTTCCATTATACATTTCCCTAAAAATAAAGGACTAGATGCATGATTTTTGACAGTGACTTACATGCAGTAATATTGCTTACAGATATGACTGCACTGTCTTTTCTTTAAAGCTAGACTGAACTCTGTCTCCAGAGTTGCCAGCATCATGAATAGTCCTGCAGACCAGAGGATATATATTATTATTATTATATTAAAAAGCAATTTGGAATACCTACATCTGTAATGCTATATTGTACTCTATGGTGGGAGGAAGTAGAGGAAGGGATGCCGGCTTAGCAGGAAGCTTGCACGATGTCACTTCTTTACCAGTAACACCACCACCAGTGGCCATTTCCTTTAACTAAATAGCAGGCTAAAGAAGAAGGATGGAAAGGAATAAAATGAAGGAAGGAAAAACAATAGAATCTAAGACAAATAGTAGCTCTCATGATATTCTACCATTTTGCTTGTAAAAGGTTACTAGGAACTCTACATTACAGTTTTTCCATCTCTAGGATCCTGTAGACATCGAGAGGAGAAACTGCAAGTATCATGTTATTTTAACTTCCTCTGTGAGTTAACATGAATTGAGACTGTATTATGGTACTTAGGAAAATCTACTGCCTTTGAAAACTCTTATGACAGAGTATGTAGTTTGGCTGACACTTTGGTTCTGTTTGAAATTGCCATATTCATCTTGGAAGCCATGAAAAACATGAAAATCTATTCTAGTTCATGAGAGCCGCATCATTTTTTGTCATAATGTTCATTTTGGAAAAATATGGTCAAGTATTTAAAATGGACATTTAAAAATGAGAGCTAACAAGTCAGTTGCTGTTTACTTGGACTTCAAATACCTCCCAACAACTGCTGCTGTTCTGTGAAACTTCAGTAAACTATCATAGTCATTCAACAAACTCTCAGAAACTTAAGTAACCTGATTACAGCTGTACCTTTGGCTAGAAAACCACCAAAGGGTCTTTCACTAGTATGCCATAGAGTTGGGAGGGGGTAGAGGGTGGTCTCCAAAAGACAGGACACTAGGACCAAAAAAATGTTTTTATGAGATGTATAAGAAGAATTTTTTTGTATATTAACTAAGCCTAGGACACACCACTTTTCTGTAGAATAAAATAAATGACCCTAGGGCTGGGAAGTCATTTTCACCTGCAAAAATGAGCATTCTTCACTTTTAAAACCCCAAGAAACAGATTTTCCTTGATTGTGCAAACTTTCATAAGGCTCTTGGTAAAACTCATGGGTAAAGAGAAACCTTCTGTCTACACAGACAGAGCAAATGGATTGCCATTTGATTTACTACCAAATGGTGAATTTCCACGTTAACCAGATACTTGGCTAAATCGGTTACCACTGACCCAGGGAAACAGGATGAACAGAATCAATCCTGCTATTTTTGATATAGTACTACACTACCTTTTATACAGTGTTTTTAAAGCCGTTAGTCAACACTGGTTGTTAAAAAGTAAAGATTCTGCATTAAATTTCAAAATAAATACAGTATTTTCAGAATAATATTTTTACCTCACAGAGGTGTTGCTTAAACATTATGCAAGTAGACTGCAAGAAAATGATGGGGTTTCTTTGGTACTATAACATCCTTTGAAATATCTTTTTGTTTTCACAGGCATCACTGGGAAAAAAAAAGAAAAAAGAAAAATCTCCAGTTTCAAGATTTTAGAAATGATCTTTGGACATGACAAGAGCGTCTGATTTGAAAATGTCAGTGGTGAAAGCTGATGTGGGTGGATGGGTAGGTGGAAAGGAGCAGTGCGAGTGGGAACTGTCATTTCATGTACAATAAAACAAGGCAGTCATACACATATGACAATTTAGTCTTGCAAATAGTTACTTTTTAAATGTCTTCAAATATGATCAATAACCAAATCTGTCCCCTAGTTTTAGTGATGGCTACACGATATTTTATTTTTATATATACACATATACATATACACACAGACATACACACACACATATATAAACACATATACATATATACTGTACATGCATACACACACATTATGCAGACAATGTAGATGCGTATATCCATGAATATTTTCCCCTCCCTTTTTCCCCCTCTTTCCTCTGTATTCACTACCAGCCATTGCAGTTAAAATATTGATTACATGTACAGAAGCACAAGCACTGACAGCAGTGGTATGTAAATTAAATAATTACATCCAACAGACTAGGGAATCCTTCCTTTTACCAGGACAGATTGGTTAATTTGTTAGGCTGCACATTTCAGGATCAAGTTCAGCAATGGCAGAAAGTCATGTAAACTGAGAGGCATAGCTATATGTCCCAATTTAGCTGCTAGCTAATATCCAAAGCAAGTAGAAATTATAACTGTTGGGTGTTTAGCTCTGGTAATAGCAGACTGAACTCCCAAGTGAAGCCAGTTTAGCCTGCTTACAGTGGGGCTAAATTTGACACTGGAAATTTTGGGAACAGCATGTTTTCCCTAAAGCAAGGGGTAGGCTATGTTAGCTTGGACCCTTTTTATTTAATTTTACTGACATTCTTCCCTTTTACCTTCTTAGGGTGAACACTGCACTCTTCTTGCCCACTCAGCTGATGATAACTTCAAATACCACCACTTATTATACCCAGCCACTTCCCTATGACATACAACTTGCACTCGGATGATGACTGATGAAAATGGGCCAGGCTTTCCTTTGTGCCATTTCTCTGCAAAACTGAAATATTGGCGCAGTTGCTGAGCAGTGAATTGTTACACCTAATACTTAAATCTATTTCTTAGAAAGAACAAGGGCCTAAGGAATATGGGCTAAGCTAAACATGAGAGACAAGCAGCAAGGTGCAGCTGACATGATGCATCAGTTTACTATGACTTCCTCTTTTATATATTACAAAAATTTAAGAATAGCATCTTGTATTATCACAATGTCTGCCGAACAGCGTAAAATGAGCAAGCAAGAAATTACTGCAATAGCTCCAGTTATTAAAAATGCATTATTTCCTTATTAACAATTCAAAACAGATGCCAAGGATCATCTCTGCTAGAAATAAAACTGCTGGAGTGAATAAAACATCCAGCAATTAGCTAAAAGCAGATCAGAAATGCTCCAGATTTCACTGTAGTACACTCATTAATTGTTTCTCTTTCAAAGCAAATTTCACTTTAAATTCTGGGCTACAAAATTAATTCCTTTGAACATTTTCTAAATAAAGCTGAAAACCTAAAATTAGAATTAAGCAACCATTCTGAGACTCTTCCATTTCCAATCATTTCCATTAATACCAAACAAATGGAAAGATTTACAGCTATATTAAATTACAAATGGTCGGCCCAATGTTATAAATCAGGGGTCAGTAACGGCTAGAGTGCCAAAAACAACCCAGCCTCAACCCAGGCCTCAATTTAGTACACCCGAGGCACACAGAGGGGAGCTGTGAAGGGCCCGATCCTCACTGCTGGTGGTGGTGCCTCTGGGCAGATGGCCAGGGAGTGGCCAGGGTTGCACTGCCCCAGGCCCTTGCCCACTGTGCACGTACAGCCACTGCCACCACAGAGCCAATGTTGGAGCTCCAGACTTGGTGTAGTTGTTTGCAGCCTGCCTGCCACTTGCTGCAGCTGCCCAGAGCCTGGGCCAGCTGTGGCAGCCTGCCGGGAGACTGGAGACAGCTGGGCCAGGTTCCATAGTGGCGGTGGCTGCATGCATGCCTCGGGGCACATGGCTGGGAAGGGGCCTAGGGCAACGCAACTCTGGCCTTTCCCCTGCTGTCCATGCCAAGGCATGTATGCAGCCACTGCTACCATGGAGCCCTGCTGAAACCTGGTGCAGCTGTTTGCAGCATCCTGGCTGCCTGCTACAGCTAACTTGGCCTCTGGGCAGCTGCAGCAGGTGAAGGGCAGGCTGCAAATAGCTGCACTGCAGTCCAGAGCCCCGGCACTGGCAGGGCTACATGAGCACCTCAGGGTGCACAGTGTGCAAGGCACTAGGGTTGCGCTGCCCTGGGTCCCTTCCCAGCTGTGTGCCTTGTAGCATGCATGTAGCTGCCACTGCCATGGAGCCCAGTCAGGGCTCTTGAGCTGTGAGCCGCTCAGGCTCCATGGCTGCCCAGAGCCTGAGCTGGCTGTCGGGTGTTGAGAATTGGCTTTGCATGCTATACGCAGGTATGTGTGCTGGGGCTTGCCAACCCCTGTTGTAAATGCTCCAGAAACTGAACTTCTATTAATGTCAGGGTCTTGTCATGTGGTAATTTTGGGTGGCTCCTGGAGCACTTAACATCTGGACTGTCCACCCAGTAGCACCTGGAACTAGTTTTAAGCACTCGTTATGTGGCTCAAAGTTACACCACTCCAGGGTAGCATTCTCTGTGATGCTTGTTACCCAGCCAGGGGCAACTGGTGCCTCCCAAGTCTGGGGGGGGCACCAGATCTCCAATGTGGGGGGCTGGACCTGATGGACTCATAAGGTCCCTTCCAGCCCTGAACTTCTGTGAAACTGTGCGCTGCTCACAGGGTAATGTGTAACAAGGCCTTCAGAGAGAGTTTCGCATGCAGAGCACTTCAATGATCAGGCCTGTAGTTGGCACTCTACTTACTGAATAAACTGGTTGTTTATATGTGTATGGCCTTATAATTTAGTACGCTCAGAAGCAACATCTACAGCAATTAATGACTTAAGGTTAGACTATAATATCCCTATTTATGAGGATCAATATGGGACCACTCACATAGCTGTACTCATTGACGTGTGTCAAGGGATCAAATTCTAGTCCTTAATTCAACTCTGGAATAGAATGAGGTGTTCTGGTACAACTAAGAATGGATTCTATTTCCCACTGAGGAGCCATGGAAAGGCATTGGCTCTCTGACAACCCCTTGGCCTCCAGCTTGCTACCACCTTTTGAGAGAGACAGCACAATCCCTACCCATTCAGTTTAGCTGGTTCGTATGTTGGGGGATGGGACAAGGCTCCAACTAATA